GAAAAGAATAATTTTTAGCAAATTACAGTTAAATTAAGATGTTCACTCTTCATGAGGCGCTATTACTATCATTTTTATCACTGTTATTTTTTGTTATTATTCTTTTCATTATTATTATTTTGTTATCGTTGTTATTATTCATTATTAATTATTATTATTGCCATCATCATTATCATTATCACTATTATTAAATAATCAGTCAGTTCCCAGTAAAATTTTATCCATCTAAGAATCTTAATCAATTTTCACACTGCAATTTTTAAATGAACTCAAGTTGAAAACCTAATTTTGGCTCTTAACTATATGAAACTATGCAAATTTTGTTTATGCAATAACTTTTTTGTAGCCCAAAAAAGTGTTTTGTATAATAAATAACAGAAAGTTGGAGGGTATCTTGAACTAACATACTTCAGTCTCGATATATCTGTTAATCAAAAATAAATTTCAGTGCTTTTAGAAAAAGTAAATTGCTCTAAAATGTAACTTATAAATTTTAGCTAACACTGATAATACATTTAATTATTTCAGAGTTTCTGATACCGATATCGTGCAGTTCAAAGTTAAAAGTAACGTTAGAACTAATGGATCGTGATGAACCTCGCTCCCAGTCTCAAAGCAAAACACGTATGGTTGTGGATCAAACCAAGGTTAGTTAGCACTTCAAATTTGCATATTATCAGAAAACGATTGTTTTTCTAATCGAATATTTGCTTTATTAAACGACTACACAAATTTTAAAAATATTCAAAAAACTTGAAAGTAAGAATTTTTGAATTGAATATTTATTTTTAATAGCTTGCACTGTATGCTTGTCTTCGATAATCTGTTCATTTGTTGAATAAAGTTCATTTTGTTATTCTCACAGTACTACTTGTTATAAATTATTAATAACTGTGTTATTGACTTCTTTGAACTTTCATCTATTTTAATAAATTATTCACTGATAATGGAACCATTCGACCGCATACTTCTCAAAGTTTCATGCATGTCTGCAAGCAGTGATAGCTCATTTATGAACTTTTATCATCATCTGTTCAGATTTAATCAACACGTTAATTATTTAAACACTTTGCGTATAATGTTGCTAGAAATTAACTTTTCTTAATTAATAAAACATATTAATATATCAGTACAAATACTTACTGCGCCTTTTATAACGTTTTAAATAATTTTCCAATTTAAAAATGAAACAGTAATTTCGTTTCATTTTTGTTCGCACTTAATTTTGTAGAATTGAATTCATATTCTGCCTTTTTTTCAACTTCAGTATGGACAGAAACGGAAATTTTGAAAAACATCTTGAAGTTTGTAGAAACACGCAGTTCTTTGCAAGTTGCATGCAGTTATTTGCGATCTACACTAAACGTAATCCAAGCGTATTAACGTGTACTTGCAGGTAAGGCAAATTGGCGAAGAGCGTTTGGGTGAAGATAACAAAAGCGATGGATATATGCAAGTCGAGGTTTATCAATATGATTTGGTATTATAATGCCTTATTTTGAGTTTTTTAAGTTCCGCTTTTCTAATTTCTGTATTAATTTCAGTCTATTATTCGCTTTGTGTCTTATTTCATTTCTGATATAATTTGCTTCTTATTTTCCGCTTTCGAATACTCAAATTCAGATTAAATTTATGATATAAATTTAAATTGCAGCAATTGTAAAAGTATTTATTAATAAAATTATGCTGAATAATGAATGAGTCTTTTTAATTTTTTAATTAATAACGTCTTTATTAAGTAATCAAAGAAGTAAGCAATATTGCTAAAACTATTAGGTATTTTGGAAATAGTTAGCAAATTATATTAAAAATGATTTTAGGCCTTCTCCAGTGATAAATAATGAAGAAGAAATAATCAAACAACGTTAATTTCAGTAACTGAAAAAATTCATTCAGCATTTGATTTGACAAAAGTTAAATTAAATACTGAATTACACTTAATTGTTCATTTAATCAGCTTTTGCTTTCACCTAACTTTAATACTTTTCATTTTTGTTGTTTTCAGCGTTTGACTATTTAAATTGGCTTTTGGTACCTTTAAAAATTTTCTACAAATTTCTTGAAATTATCAAATTATTGTGAGAAGTAAATGCATATGGTATTAATTCAGAAACAAGAAGATCTTCAAATATTTAATGCTAAAATACTTAGTACTTTGAGAAAATCTTACTGTAACTTTCAGATTTCGCTTGCAATGGAAAAAGTGCTTGATAATTCTGTTCATTCAACCGATGTGAGTTCTAAGATTGTCCTTTGACCCTTTCTTGATCTAAATTTGCTAAACAAGACAAAATTTATTCTAAATCATTGAATTAATGCAATAGTATTGTGGTTGATTGTTTAAAAAATTTAACATAACATTAAAATGTGATTTGAGAATAATAATCAAAAATTTCAACTTCTGTGAAGCGAATTAATTTCAGTTTAACTATTTTGTCCAATTTATCATACAAAACTTATTTTCAGAATATCTCAGAGAGAGTCAGATATGAACCAAAAACTCCGAATGATACAGAACAGGTCAAATCGCAAGTACATGAAGAACACGAAAGCGATAAAAGAAAGTATACTGATGATTACGGGAAAGAATTTGACGCATGGATTATAAGTGATGATGGAAGACGTACTAGAAGTCATACCAATGAAAGTTATAGCAGTGTTCTTGAAAGTGATGAAAAACATTCGACAACAAGGTTAATTGACGTAAAGTGAATTAATTTTCACAACACGTTTTCATACCAATTTTATTATTTTAAGATTTTATTCTGTTATAAGGGAAGTAAGCTCTAATGAATAGTTGCTTAGAGACAGAAGTTGTATTGCGGATGTGAAATCAATCAGTTTAATAAGTAAAGTTAGTTATTTAATGATAATAGAATAATAATAGTAGTAACAAATAATAATAATAATATTATTATTGATAATGTCAATAATAATAAGTTATAATATGTTGAACTCTGTTGAAAATATAATAAATGTTAATCATGAAGTAAGCAGTAATAAAACTTAGTATGTTTTATGCAAATCAATGAATAAAATTTTTTGTAATTAAAGTTGCATTGCTTTATTAATTAGAGAAAATTTCCTGTATTTTAATAATAGTACAGTTTGAATAAGAATTTTGTGCTGAAAAATATCTCAAAATAAGATTAACTTCGTTGATGAAAATTTAATTTATCAAACTTTCAATTGAGAGATAAAAAATTTTCAGTTTTATGTTAATTAAAAAAAAGACTGATTAATCTTAGAGAAGATTAAACAAATATTTTTAGTTCAAATAAATTGGAAAGCTTTTGAAAATTTGAACTTTGTGTGTTTCTTGAAAACAGTCACAGTTAGACCACATTCGTATTATGGGTCACGGAAAAAAAGACAAAATGTATTAATTGCTTTGGCAATCAGTTTTGACTTATTTTTCACTTAAAAAATTTTTTGATTCCGAAAAAGTTTTATCATGAATATTAAGCAAATAATCAATTAATAATTATGAAAACTTTTGCAGAGTATTAATTGCGAAGTAAATTACATTGAATGCTTTGATAGCTTTCATGTAAACACGTGCGTGAGCTTTGATTTGGTATCCGATTGCAATATATTTACTTATTCAAAACTTGTTTTCCATTTTCATGTAATTTATTCACCTGTCCAATCAATATCATATTCAAATTCTGCACCATCTGATCATGCAATTTCATTCATTTATTACAATAATTCATAATTATACTTATAGATTATTTTCCAAACTTGCTTTAATTATCACTGCTAAAGCGCAAAGTGATGACTTCTAATTAAGTTTTTGTATGAATTTAATAATTATCCAATTAATGCACAGTACTTTTTATTACATTAAACGTTATTCAATAGTAAATAATTTGAGAAATTAAGATGGACTTTTGATTATTACACGTTTTTTATTGTTTTAGACCTTTTGGAAAAAATTTTTGAGATAAATTTGGTATTTTCATTTATGTATTTTATGACCTCGCAATATTATGAATAATATAAACTGAGTTTGAAGTTTATTTGCAGTAAAAATTTGTTTGATTGAAAATTTAATTTGATTAGTATTCATTTAGTCGTAAAAATAAGTTAAAAATTTTTCATAAAGTTTGTTTTTTAGATTAAAAAAATGATTGAAATCAAATAATGATGAGATTTGAAACAAACTTTGTCAACGCTTTATAAAGTTAAGCGTTTCGCACTCACTTATTTAACATTTAAATGATTAAATACTTGAACTTTGCTACTTGATTTGTAATTTATTTTTAGGGATAAAATTTTAATATTTTTTGTGAAAGTAAGTAAGTTTGCCTGTTCGACTTGATGCAATTGTAATTGTTCCTATAATGCAATTTTATAAAATAATTACAATTACAAATTGTACAAATTTTTTACTGAATTTATTTTTCATTAGCTTAATTAATGAATAATGCATTTAAAATAATTATCTATACTTATCATATGCAAATTTGGTTTATTAATGATATTCAGAAGAGAAAAAAGCTGAAAGATTTTTATTGTAAAAAACTTATTTTAAGTTTTAAAATAAAAATGATTTTACTTTTAGTTTTATTTTGTCTAAGTATAAAAATATTTACTTTTTATCTATACAAAATTTTGTTTTTCATTTCAAATCATAAATTGTTTTTAGTGAAAAGTAGAAGAAAACAGTGAATTCTTTCATTTGAAAAACAATTTATCAGTTATGAGCTGTTATTTAATATCAGATTATCGCTTTTCTCAGCGAAATTTTCACAGCAAAACTTAATTACCATTAGAAATTGGAATCTAAACTTAAAAGTGAAAAATTATTAATTACTATTATAATTTCTATTTTTTGTATTCTCTAAATTTTTTCATTATTTATCAGAACTATCACTAATTATGCAAATTTGTACGTTTATTGAAGAGCAATTTGAAAAGATGCGAAAGAGCTTTTTGAATGTCAAAAACAATTTCATTCAATTCCGATCTTTCGATTTTAAATTACTTAGTAGTTTTTTGCTTTTTATCTAATATTTAATTTGCTGATAGTATTATACAGTAAGAGCAAGATCAAATTTAAATGATTAAATACTTGAACTTTGCGTAATATCTGATATTATTCAAATATCGATCAGTAAATTAGTAAAATTTTGAATAATTGCAAAAGTTTATTGGTATTTTTGTGAGAATTAAAGTGTAAAAGTGTAAATTTACATTTGGAACAAAAAGCACCCACTTTTTTGAAGAAAAATTAGGTGGATGACACTTGAAAGAACATTTAAAAATGAAAAGTCGTTTATTATTTTAATTATTAAAAAAAATTTCTTGCAGAAATGCAAATCGTTTCAATAAATATTTTGGTTTTATTTCGTATAAATTTGCTTTATATTTCTTACAAATTCAAATTTATGAAAAAAATTAAGTACAAATAATAATTATTAATGTAAATATTTGTCTTAAATTCAATAAGTATGCAATTAAATTTATCACGATAATATTTATCATTGCAAAAATAACAATGTAAAAGATAATAAAATAAGCAATTAAAATTATATTTAAAACAAATATTAATGATTGTAATTGCAATAAAGTGAATTTAAGAAGTGAAATAAATTTGAAATATAATTAATTTCAAAGAAAAAACTTTTTTAATAATAAATAATTAATTTGAAATATTAAATATTATGAAATATTTTAAGCATTAAAATAAAAAAATTTATTTTTTATAACTGAAAGTTTGTTTTTTCAATGAAGTAGTCAATTTATGTTGCAAATTGCGATATAATTAATTAAATAAAAATGTAGGAAATATTTTAGAAACATGACTGAACTTCGATGAAGTTTCTGAGCACAAACATTTTGTTAAATACTCAAAAAACAAAACTTTTTCTAGGAATTGCGAGCGTTTGCTTTGCATTGAGCACTGAGTACTGTGCAAAGTTTAAGAGGTAAAGTGATACAAAAGCAGTACTTTGTTTGAATTTGAAAATAAATTATTATGATTTAGGGAGTAAATTTAAAACAAAAGTAATGCAACAAAGCAGTCTTTTCCATCTCGAAAATTATTCATTCATAATGTAATATTATTGGCAAAAAATTTGTTTGAAAAATTAAAAAAATGAGCAAAAATTAGTAAAAATGTTCACTTTTATTTATTATTTATTTCAAAAATAAACTGCATTAATATTTGTTTTACTATTTTTTGAATATTTTTACAAATTTGAAAGATTAGTTAGCTATTAATTTTTGTAATATTTTGTGAAAAAAGAAGCAATAATGGCAGTTTTTTTTTTCAGTATTATTAATAAATAACGTTAGTAGAAAAAATTAAGGTTTGATTTGATAATAAAATGCGTTATTTTATGAGCAAGTAAGCAATATTATAAAATAATCATAGTATTTTTCTTGAATTTTACGATTAATTGGAAAAACAGCAATAAAATTGAATCGAATTGTAAATTTTTTTAAAATTATTTTAAACTAAAATGAGTACCTTTTGTACGACTCAAATTATTATTATTATTATTATTATTATTATTATCAATATAATAATAATTATTATTTCGATTAAATATTTGCAAAAATTAATGAATGCTCATTTAGAAATGATTGTAAATTATTATTTTTAATTACTTATTATAATTAATCTTTATAATTCTCACTCACATGGTCGTTTATTAAAAGAATTTTCCATATCATTTTGTGTCTCTTCAAGACATTTTGCTGTATTTGAGCACTTGGCAGCTTAAATAATTCATATGCTTTTTAATTACAAAAGGAATTTCGATTGCTTTACTTAACAAAGTCAGTGATGATGATTCAGAAGTTGAGTGATTCAGTACTTAATTTGATATCGAAAATAACGTTTCTGCATATTCTAAAATTAAATATGCGTATTTTAAAATTATTCAAAATTACAGCAATATTTTTGAACAAAAATTTGTGACTATAATTTTTAATAATTTTGATTGATTTATTCTCAAAATTAGAATATTCTGTTTACTTGATCAAAAAAATCAAAAGTTCAATCAAGATTTTATTAAAAGTCAAGTAATTGAGCGCATTTTAACACTATACTGGCGCACTTTTACTGAACTTTTGTTCATTTCAACTTTAATACTCGCGCACTTTCAGCTGCATATAAGCTAACTACTAATGATTTAAGCTTACAAAAAGTAAAAAAAACGAGCAATAGATTAATTCATGTCAAGTAAGCAAAAAACTGCTAGAATTATCAATAACGAATCTATCCGTTACATTGTATTTGCCATCTTTCTATTTATTTGCCTGTTTGTTCAAACAAGTTCAACGTGAGAAGTTTTGTGAAATGAACGTAAAAAACAAACTTAAATTTTTCTTTCATATTTCTGCTCCTCCTTTTCTTCTTGACATTATTTTCTATGCTCTAATTGCATTTTAACATTTTTACCTGAACGTCGTCTTATCCTTGAAATCTTTATTATAATACTATTCTGTACTGTACGCAACAGTTATTATTGTAATAATTTCAAACTTCCTTTGGCATAATTTTAAATTAATTCTATTAACTATCCAAGCAATATATTTGGATACCAAATAATAATTATTATATTTCTGTTCTAATATTATTTCTGATTTATTAAGTAAGCTAATCAACAGCAATCAAATTATTTGGAATTCATAATCTTAAGAATATTAGAATACTACCCGAAGTACATCTTATATACTTCTATAAATAAACCTCGTTGCAATTTTACAATACTTTATTTTGATTCAACATTCTTGAATACATTATTCATTTACATCTCAATAATACATAATTTTCTCTGCTATTTTTTAAAAGCACTTCTGACATTATTACGAAGCACAAATTAAGAATTGATATAGTCAAGAATTGATAGAATGAGTCTTAAATTATCAGTTGAGATTCTTCGATTGCTTATAACTCTTCTTAACAATTTGATAACTCTGGAAAAAGATAACAGATTTATTGATAACGATATCCCTAAAAAAGTATCAAAAAGTGATGATGATGAAGAATGTGGCAATGAATATTTTTGGTAAATTTATCAAACTTAATAATGTTTTTTTGTGTTAATCATCTGAAGTAGAGATATATCACATTGATAAGTATTTTTTAGTATAAAATTTGTTTTAATGAAATTTGACTTATTGAACTTTTACTTTTGTTTACTCACAAATACTTTAATTTATGAATTAATAGTTGTTGAAGAATTTTTAAGCCGTATATTCGTCAAAATATCAATGAACTAACTCTTTTATTATTTTGCAGAAGTATGCAAATGCATGCAAATATAATCCCTTTTATTTATTTCAGAAATTAATCAGTAATTTATGGAAAGTATTAGTTTAGCATTTTTAAATTCTACTGAAATTGCACAAAAATCATTTGCGCAATAATTTCTCATCAAGAAGTTTTTTTATTAATAATTCAAATAATATTAAATTTAGATTTAGATTTAAAAAAATATTCTTCAAAAAGAATGCTCCTTAATGATTGCTCACAATTTAATTATCACATTCAGAGTTTTGATTCAGTAATCAGAAAAGAAAATAAGTGAGTGTTTTATTAACGATTACCTGAAATCTGTTTCTGCCATTAATGTAAATGTTTTTTTGAAAAATTAGCAACTTTGATAAAAACTTTTGAATTTTATAAATTGGACAAATTTTTGCATAAAATCAAAAAATATTTTTATCAGGTCAAAACCCGGATCGTTACGTGAATTCCTTAGTGAATATGATAATATAATCAACAGTCGTGGTCATGTTACATCACTAAGCGGACGAACAGGACGTGAGTCAGGTTATCGAAGCGGATCAGCCGGCGAAGAAGAGGTGTCTGGAACACGTTTTGTAGATTCATCCAAACTCATACATAAGTATGTTTTGTTGTTTTTACAAATAATCATCATATTGTTAAAGATATTGACGTCAAATTCATTTTCAAGTCTCTCGTGCTTCAAAATTGAAAAATAAAATTGTAACGAAAGCCAATAATACTGACTCATAAACTTTTGATTTACTTTAAAAAATTGCAGTGCTTCGATAATTACATTAAGATATTTTTTCAAGAAAATTGAACATAAATACACAATAACTAATGAATATTTATCTTTCAAAAGTTTAATTTATTATCAATAAATCCATTTTTGAATTCTTCAATTTATTCTACAAATAGTTTACTTTATAAAAATTATAGTATTTACGTTAATTACTAAAATATTTATCTTTGAAATTTCAATGAGTAACGAATTTTTAAAAATATTTTTAATGCATTCAAAACAAAAAGATAAAATGCAATTCTGTGATAAGTGATAACATTCTCTTAGCTGATAATCACTCATTTTTATTTTCGATAAATGGAATTTTTATCACAAACATTGTCCAGCTGCACAACTTTGTTTGCTTCATTTTTCTTTACTGTCACTGCAAAAAAAATAGTTGTTTTTTGTGTAGACAAAGACTTCACTTTTTATATTCCGTGTGATTATCAGCAATAAATATTTTTTATAACAAAAAATTTACGCACAATTTTTGATTTTTTACAGTATTTTACTGTATTTAAAATTTTCTGTAAAAAAAAGTAAAGCAGAATAGACTAAATGTAAAAAATCAAAAGATTTGTTGATTTTTAAATGCATCGAAACAGTTTTAAGGGATTTTTTTGTACAAATTATAAAAATAAAACGCTAAATTGAAACGATTTTATCTCCAAAAATTGTTAATATTTTTAATCGAGTCATTTCCGTTCAGTTTTGACTTAGATTAGTTTTTATTTAATTTCATTTCGGAGAAAAAATGTTCAAATCTTTTATTTTTGTGCTTTAATATTTGAATAATAATTCTTTAACTTTGATTTTAAAAAGTCAACAAATAGCATAATAATCTGCATTTATTTATTCAGAAATTAGTACAAATCTTCATAGTTTAGCAGTGTACACGAAATGATAAATGATGACATTGCTTTTATTACTTCGCACATTTGATATTAATAATAACAGTAGTGATAACACCAATAATTATATTATACTAACAAGTAGTAATAATCAATTACGATATCAATATTAGTATTAATAATAATAATAATAATAATAATAAAACATCAAATTAATAATTTTTGTGAAAGTTTTCATCGTTATTAACATCAAATTGACAATTTTTTCATACATACCAAATTAACTGTTAACTTCTACACATTTATATTGAAGCTAGCAGTTGATTACCTATTGATAACGCAGATGATTGTTAAGATAAAGTTTTAATTTTACTGAAAAGTTAACTTCAAATTATTATCTTTTAAAAGTGTAATTATTAAAAGTGTGAGCTATTATATTCTGCAAAAGCTACAGTAATCTTAATCTTGTAATCATCAAAGGCATTAAAAATATTGTTTTTGTGTTGTTGTGGTATTTTTAGAAAAATACAAAGTAATCTAGAATTTTGATAATTTTTGAAAGATTTTGGAAGTATAATAGCAATTTGTTACTAAAAGTAGAAAAATTGAAGAAATATTAAAAATGAAATGCAGAATTAATCCATTTATTTGAGAGAATTATTATGATATTATGAATACGATATTTGAGAATAACAACAGCAATATTATCAGATAGCAAGTTTAAATAGCATTCTGAATAGAGAGACTAATCTTTTCATCGTAAACAAAATTTCAAGCTTTTATTGAAACGAAATCACGAATTTAATAAAAAGCTTACTGGCAGCTTAGAAACATATACTTTTCTAGCAATATTAGCATTGGATGAGTGTTATTTTTGCTAATGTTATTGATGGTTGCGTTTAAGTTGCTAGCACATTCTGATGAAAGTTTTTAGGTACTTAATTTAATTTTCATTTCAAATTAATTTAACTACTCAAAGAAATGCTCCATTCATCATTTTATCGTATGATCGCAATATTTTTTTAAATGATACATCAAAATTATCCTAAAAAAAAAAGCCATTATTTAATTACTTGCAAACTTTATAAAAAATTTTTGACGCATAAATATAAAGAAATATTATAAATTACAGTTTGTCAAAAAATTCCAAATTTACATTTTCAAGTTTGAATATTTTTAATAAAACTTTTATTTCATATTTAAGACAAAAGTAATGATTTTATATTTAGTTAATTACTGATCTGATTACAGCCTACCACCAAAAACTGTATCGTACAGTACTCCAACAGTATCAGTGCAAATACCTGCTGAATCAACAATTACCAGCGAAACAACGATAACTACCACAACTGCTATAAAAAAAGTCGAAACTGCTCCTAAGCTTACTGAAGATACATCAGCTGTAAGTGATATTTAATATCAGTTACGAACTGACAACCGATAACTCAATTTTTAATTACAGTCGTTGCGTAAAATAACAGATTTTACTACGTAAAATAACGCATTTTATTGCGTGAAATGACAGATTTTATTGCGTTGAAGCGCGCATCTTTTTTTGACATAACTCAGTAAAACCTTTACAAGTAATAAATACACAAATAAACTATCTTAAAACTATTATGTCTAGAAATATGCAAATTTTTAAGTTATAAAAAATTGAAAATGCATATTGCTAAAATCAAAAAAGCATAATTCCATATTTGCTGACAAATTAAAACAAAATTTATATTTTTTATATTTCTTCCACAACTTTTAATTGTGCAGTTGGGCAGAAAAAATTCGATTTTAGTAGGTGCCATTTAGTACCACGAAATTTGCAAAAAATTTAATTAAATAAATCAAATAACACTGAAAGTAAATTAATGTCAACTTGCTCTTAGTAATTTATTTAATTGAATAAAAAAATAAAGCAAAAATAAGTCTACTTACTTTTTTTGCTTTTATTGTGACCCTTTGCACTGAAAGCAAAGGGTCACAATATAAATTTTATCACACTTGCAAAACTGCATAAAATAAACAATTGTTAAAGCAAAAGTCAACTTTTACAGATAGATTATTAATTATTAGTAATATTTTGTCAAACTTTATTAATTATATACTTATACTTACTTTATTACTTTATTCTACAAAAAATAGCAAAAAATAATCAGTCATATCTCTCTTTTTTCACTTTTTATTACAAATTTAACATAGATAATTAATTAGTGGTCAAAAAATGACAACATAAAAGTAATTGGTGGTCAAAATAAGTTGCTAGAACAAAATATTTCTTCTTTTATTTAAATAATTCTTACAAGCTGCAGGATTATTTTTGATTAGCACTTGGATCAAGCCATTTTTTTGCTTATCAATTTTTGAAGGCATTAAAATAAGTAGTTGACTTGATCAATTGAATGTTTAACTTCAAAACAGTAGTCTGAAAAAATCAGATTCATGGATCGAAGCTAACTTCAGATATTTATTTCAGGCTTGGAAGTAATATGATTTTTAGTGGTCATAATATGCTATATTTTGAGCTTTAAGGTAGATCAAAACACGTTAAGAAGACTAAATGAAGCGCAAGATTTTACATGATTGAAAAGTGGATAAGATAAGGGCGGGAAAAAAAAAATTATTATTTCTATGAGATTATTATACTTTACAACTTTGTATAAATATGCAGGCAGGGCATCAGAAGTTTTGTTTTTTAAATGTTAAAAGCAATAATCAATAAATATCATTTAATTTTTATTATTTTTGTATTTTATTATGCATTTACAATAGTCTTTATAAGGCAGATGTTAAATGGCAATATTTGGAAAAATTTGATAATTTCGACTATTTGTTTTTGGTTCATTCCCTACTGATCATACTACTATGCATGGTTTATACTTATTATATAGTTTTTATTTTACTAACTAATGTACGTTTTATTTATGAAAAATTATACGCAAGATGAACTTTTTTAAGTTCATTAATATACGGTTTTCAAATTTTAGTCAGTATTAAAGTAAATAGAATCACTCAAAAGCAATTTATCATTTTTTAGATAAAGAAATTTGCCTTGAATTTTGAACAATTTTTATTAGAGAATCTATAAAAATTTGAATTACATTAACGATATTAGATTAAGTATTAAATGACCCTGAAATCGTAATAATAGCGATATGTATTAAAGATGTTGGAATTTTAAGACTAATTGACTTGCTCCTAACTGGAAAAAAAATTATCAGACATAATTTTTTATTTACATAACAGATTTGAGATACTAATTTGTGCATATAAGCGCTTTCAGTATTTGTTTCACTTTAATTTTTATTTAGTCTTAATATTTTTGAACAGCTGTTGTTGTAGTTGACTTTTGGAATTACTATCTTTATTTATTTTTTTGATTTTATCATTTTTTATAGGAATCAAATTATTAGCTAAAGAAGTTCTGCAGAAATCTAACTTTGTTATGTTTGTGAATTAAAATTGCTTAATCATTTATCTAATATCAAATAATCTTACAATGCTAAGCAAAAAAAATTTGCATATCTTAAAATTATTATTGGATGCGTCAAATTTATTAAATGTTTATTTAAAAACTATTAAATTCAAATTCTTCAAAAACATTGAGTTTATAAGTGTTATCAAAGTGAGTAACTGTTAAGTTGATAACATTACTTAACAAATATTTACTTCATAACATTCCTTTATTTACCTTTAATGTTTTTGATAATATTTGATAATTATGATTATACATCAGTTTAAAACTGATACTAATCATTTGACAAGTAAGTCAAAAATTAACCTAAATTTGTTTGTAATTGATTGCATATTTTTGGTATTAAAAATTAAAAAATTGAAAAAATAACTCTAATCGTGTTAATATATTACTTAAATACTAAAAAATAATTTCACTTTAATTGATACAATCTATGAAACTTAAAACTAAATATTGCAGCAATTTTATTTCAAATAACAAAAAAAAGTATTTTATTAATAAATTTACACAGTACTATCATCCTCGCTGCTCTCATAAATATATTAGCACAAAGTTTTGTAAACAGAAAACAATAGCAAAAAGTGATACAAAAATGTAAATATATTAAGAAAAGTAAAGAGTAAATAAATATAAAAAGTGTTATGGAAAGAGTACAGGACAGATTTTGGAGTAGTAACTTTCAGTGGTAGCTATTTTTGAAGCATTGAGTACACTTTGACGTGCCTTCCTGACCTGTCTTTCAAGTGAAAAACGATATAAAAGAATATAAAAATTTAAACACAGAAATAAACTTTCGAATATTTACCAGTTTGTAGAAGTTTACCTTAACATCTCTCAACTACTGCTTACTTAATACATTTACCAATTTTTTTATCAACGGTTATTGCAAACTGATTACAACAATTAATTTAATCAATGATGATCAGATATTCGTTGATCAAGTATTCCATTGAGGTAATTTTTCATATTTTATTATTTTTTCAATCATTTATTCAATTTAAATCAATAAAGTCATGATGATAGAAATTATTCTTATTATTATTTATATTAATGATTTGAATAAAACTTGTTTTGTTCATATTAATAATGTAAAAAACAATCTTTAACGTATAAATGATTATATTTCGATGAAATTTAATTTAATGATAAAAACTCTAGTCGTTGATCATAAATGAATAAATAGATAGACTCTAATATTTGTACAGTATAATTGAATTTTAAAAAAAAGCTATGTCTTAGTTTATATATTTTTTGTATAAAAGAGTCATGTCATACTTTAATTATTATTATTTTTTTGATATCTCATTTTAATATGCACTGAAAAATTGCTTGTATATTTCTTGATTTTGGAAGATATTCGTGCAATTTTATAGTTAAAATAATAAATTTATGAATTAATTCTACTAATTTTGCATATTTAATGTAGTTTTTGATGATTGCTACCATATTAATGACCTCTAATGCCAGTAAGCTGCAGTCAAAACATTTGCATACTATCAAAAATAAATTATTTGTCTAAAACAAAGTAAAGTATTATCTATTCAATTATTTCATTTTCCAATATAAGAAATTTTTCAAAGATTTTATAAGATCATTCAATGAAATCAATCAGTCGATCAATCAATTATTATTAAGTTCTTATGAGATCATTTAATGAAATCAATCAATCTCTGTAACAAAATATTAAATAGTAAATTGGGTACTTAATTTTTGCCCATAAAAATTTAAACTAAATTAGTAAGTTTGTTTTTATAAGATAAATAGACGTTTAGAAGAAATTGTAACATCTGTTACAAATATTGTAACAAATTTGAAATTTCGACAATTTTTTATAGTAAGTAGTTCATGAAAGTATAGCTTATTGCATTTGTTGAACTGTAAACTAAAATGTTTAAAAATGCTTTGTAAATACTTTTCACTTATCCTTTTGCAATGTTTTTTCTACAAAAGTAATAAAATTTTTAATAAAAAAATACTTTATTTTATATTTTTAATTTCGGCATTGTAATGAGCTGAAGAAACTATTTATTTTATTGGATTGCTGTGAAAATTGACTTTTACTTAAAGTAATAATAAGCGAAGTGACTAACTTACTTATCTGTCTTCAACAATGAAAGAAGCTTACTTTTGAAGTTACTTTTAATAAATTATTACTATTTAGTTCTGGAATATCACAAGTGCTTTGTACTGATGAAGTCATATTTCTGTATTTTCGAGTAAACTTGAAGTAATAATAAAAATAAGCAAACAAAAAGAATCAAAACAAAAACAAACAAAATAAATCACTTATAAAATGACCCCAATATGTTGTAGTAAAAATTACGCATATATTATCTTAAAATCTTTTTATTACATTGTGAAAAGTAAAAAATAAAATTGAATTCTATTCAAAGAATATTTCAAGTCTTTACTAACTGATAAAATCTCTAAGACATTTTTTTTTAAATTTTGAAATAAAATAAAAATTTGAATGATTTATTTTCGGTTAGAAAATGGTGAATTTTAAAAAATAATCGTACTGGAAAAATTATTGCAAAATCGAAAAACAAAGTGAAAATTTTCAACACTTTTTATTTATGTCTAAAAATAAAAAAATATTTGATAATTGTGATTTACACTTTAATTTAAAATTATTAATAATAAATTGAAAAGTAAATCAATAATTGACTTAAATTTGTTTGTAATTAATATCAAATTTTTGGTACTAAAAATTAAAAAATTAAAATAATAACTCTAATGATTGTTTTATTCAAAAAATGCATAGCTGCAAAAAAATTTTCATTTGAAATCAGAAATAAATTATAACGATTATATTTGTCCGCAATTTAAGATTAAAATTTCAAAAAATAATAATAATTTCAATTTTTGCAAATTTTTTCAAAGGACAGTTATATGAATTAACACTTTTTTTATTCAAAATTGTTGAAATATCTCACATTTTGGAAAAATTTTTCTGTGAAAAAATTCAATTATTTGGTTTAAATTCAGATACAAATTTGTTTCGCATCAAATTTTTCAGTACTAAAATCAATATTTTATAGTTATTTCATTTTTGTAATTTGATTTTTAGCACAAATTAGCAGTACCAAATTACTTAAATTATTTTCATACTTATAAAAGTAAATAGTAAGAGTAATTGCTTACCTGCAATAAACTATTATTTAATGAATATTACAAAAAGTGTATTGTATTTATATTAATCCAAGTGGACTGCCAGATTGTTTTTTTTCTGAGATAACACTTGTCATTTAGTTCGATCACTGATTAAGTGACTGTTTCTTATAACTTCTGATAAGTGATAAATCGATTACCATGTGCTATCGATAAGATCAAATTAAGCTAAGTTTTTAGCTCAAAAAAAAGTAGACTCTCGTTAAAATGATTTTTCTATAGCTTACTGATTAAATTTTTGATCAGAAAAGCGGAATCTGATTTGTGCTAAACAAAGTGACTTGTATGATTATACTGACATGAAAAGCAACAAGTAAAAGTAAAATAATTAGCTTGTTGAATAAATTTTAATACTAACACTAAAGCACGATTATTAGTGATTTAATTGTGATCTTTAACACGATACTACGATCGGCATAGTTATTAAAGCACGTGTAGACGTACTTATTTCCGTTCCATTTTTCTGTAATTAAAGATTATAGTCAACGTTTTTTTGTATATTTTGGAACATTTTGTCTATTTAAAAGTTTGAAAATTGAATATCAGTTCAAGTGGAAATATTAAATTTGATCTAATTTTATAATTTTTTTTTCATATTGAGCTGGTTGGAAAATTTTCAAAAATTTATTTGTTTTTTTATTCAATTTGAAAAACTTATTTAAAATATTCTAAAGATTTATCTTATTTCCATTTTCGATTAATTTTTTAGATATTTAAGTTTCGAATTACTAATTTCATTTATAAAAATCAATTTGCATTTATTCATAAAAACAAATGCTTCGTTCAATAGTTTATATTATACAATTCGGAAGAAGGAAGTAGCCATTTGTTGAAAAGGTATACGTTATTATAACAATGATTGTACAGTTTTTGCAATATTATTTAGGTATGAATTATTGCAGCTGATAATTATATTGAGTAAGCATATGTTATCTATAAAAATTTGCAATAAAAAATAGTTACAAATAGATGTTTGACAAATTATCTAAATTTTTCATTTATTTTATAAATATGCAAATTATTAGATCAGAAAATTTGCATACGGCAAAACAATTTAAGCGTTTAAATTTGAAAATTGTTGCAAATATTCAATAATATGTAAACTTTTAATTTTGAATGAATTCCAATGATAGCACTTTGTAAATTCTTTTGTATGATAATAGTTCTATTATTTAAAGCTTTTTGAAAAATATGTTTTTAACTTTGTCGATAGTTACAATAATTACAAAAAGTTTAATGCAATCACTTGTGTTTTTTATGAAAATATGTAATAATAGCAATACAGTTTTCAAATTACAGTATAGTTTTCAAAAGTATTTAGATAAAATTTTGCATATAAAATTGAAAGTTAAAACTTAAACAGCAAATATTCTCTCATTCAGATTGATGTTAAGTTAACAGTTTTTCAGTAAAAAATATTCAACTACAATTTTTCAACTTTAAACCGGTTAACAATATAAATTTTTTTGAGGCAATAATAAAGTCAACTTTTTTTGAACATTATTTTTGATGCATTTATTATTGTTCGTTCAGATACAAACATTAACATTTCAGTTTTACTTGTACAGATATTTTTTTAATTTTCAAAGAAATGAAATTCAAATTTAGGTCTTTTCTATTTTAATTTTTATTCTAAAATCTTTCATCAATTAATTTTGATAATAAAAATATTTCTTAAAAGTTTTGATTCTTTATTACAAAAATATTGCAATCCATCAAGTTTTTTGAATATATTTTAGAAAATATACTCCAAATAAATAAATATTTAAACATTAGTGAATGAAATGATTCTTGCTGTAATAATGAATTGAGACAAGAAATATTCATGTCAAGTGAAATAAGAAAGTCTACAAATAATAATACAAGTAAATGTCAATTTGAAATGCTACACAATTTTTGTACAAAAAAATACAATTTTGTACTATTAAAAATTTTGAGAAATAATTATTTTCGTGCGCTGCAAAAATTGCTTTGATAACTTTTCTTGGATTTTTAAAATACTTTTCTTACCTTTTACTTTGAATCAAAAATACTCTTCAATCATTTAACTCATTGATGATTCATTTAATCTTGTAATAAAATTGATGATTCATTCTCAAAAAACTTGAAATATATATATTGTATCAAATAACTTAAATAGCATATAAATTGGTAATAATTGGTTTATTAAGCTTCGGAAGCAGATTTGAATTGCTGTTCAAAGAAATAAAATTCAAATTTAGGTTTTTTCTATTTTGATTTTTATTTTAAAAATTTTTTGGAAGCAGATTTAAATTGCTGTGCTTAAAAATTTGCAAAAATTTCACTTTTGAAATAAAAAAAAATTGAAATTTTATTGTCTTTATTTAATTTTTTAATTAAAAAATGTGAGAATTTCATGAAATTTACAAATATGTAATAATTTTTTCATACAAATTTTTTATTTTTTCCAGTGATTGATTTAATTTATTAAGTGAAATATCTTTTCAGCAATATTATAATTTGGCATAGCATCAAATTACAGTTTTTTATATAAATTCAGAATTTTTTGAATATTTGAATTTTTTTTAAATATTTTTCTCTTACAGTTTTTATGATAATATTTGTGCTTGTTATTTAATTGCGCATTATTAACTAAATAAATTGTACTAAAAGTAAAAATTGCATTACTTAAAGTGTAATTATTAATTGAAATAATTTAAGTATTACTTTATTACAGCCTAAGTTCGTTTGCTTTTTTTTTCAATATTTTTTAATATTTATCATTGTTGCAATCGAAAAATATATATATAATATCAACTTTTTAAAATTTATGTTCATTTCACTCCAATTTTCACAATGTTTGATCATTTTTTGCAATTTTTTTTTTTGATTGTTTAATTTGTTGTTGTTGGGAGTTTTGAACATTTATGGAATACATTGCAATATATTTCTGCCACTCAAGCAGTTACTTTTCATTTTCTACTTACTGCTTATTTTGTATACTTTTTTGTCAACTACTGCGTATTATTTTTGACTTAAAAGTATTGAAAATTGTTTTACACTAAAATAACACAGTGACTAATTAATTATTTTAGTATTTAAGTATAAATAATTATTAATTATTCAATAGCAGCAATCATTACTGTACATTTTAGTATTTAAGTAATGATAATTATTAATCTATTTAATACAGTAACTATAGGTATAGATAATTATTAATTCAGATTAATCAATTATTTCAGTATTTAAGTACAAATAATTATTAATTTATTATCATTTTTATTTACTGTATTGAGCATTAATTAATTTTTATAAATATTGTATTAATAAGTAAACTTTATGATAACAATGCCTAAAATACTTTGATAGCATTAAAATGTTCATATAACTGAACTGCAGCAATGATTACTTTACTTTGCATGCATTTACAGCAGTCTTTTCAGCTTACACTTACTTTTTCGTTGTGAGCAAAATTGAAAAATAAACGCAAAAAACGAGATTTGTGTTGAATTCTCGCAGAAATTCTTTTTCGATGTTTAACTAATCTGAATTTTTTCAGTTCTGATTCATTGATATTTGTTGTACTTTCAAAAAATAAAATTTATCGATGAAATAAATAAATATTCATCACAAACTTTCAAATGTTTTTATACAATACAATAAAACAATATGAAAAATGTTTGCACTTCTTTAGACTAAATCGAATTATAAGAACTGAAATATAAATGAAATGCAAAAAATTTCTAAAGAAGTAAATAATATTTGAATTGATTTATTTTAAAAGCTTTTTTTTTTTTTTTTGTATACAATTTATTTTCACGTCACGTAAAATTCGTCATTTTTACAGCCTCGTATTCCAAGTTCTCCTATTCCACCGCTTAGTTCAACAGTAAAACAAATAGGAAGTGTATCATCATTGACAGAACAGTTTGAAATGAATACACATAAGCAGTGGGTTGATGATAGTAGTCCACGTTCAGCTGATGGTAATCGATGGACTCCGAAGGTTAGATTACGTCTTACACGTAAAAGTCAGAGTTTTTAATTAATTAATTAATATTCATTTTATTTTAATGCAATAAAACAACAAGTAAACCTTAACTTTATCACAATTTTTTGAGAATAATAAGTATAATTGAATAGCCGCACATTACATTGTAATATCTCTGATTAATCAGACAAATTTAAGGATTTTAATTAACTTAGACGTAGATGACTTTAATCGAATCAAGAAAGTCTATTATTAGTCATTTAATGAATACAATAGGGTGGTTCATTTTTTGTTATAAATTATATATTAGTAAGATAAAATCTGCAATTTTTTTGAATTAATATATAAATAAATATAGTAAATTTTTGAACTATATATATTATTATTTGTCAGAATTATTACAAATTTCATTTTATATTAATTAAAAATACACTTCCATTTATTATTTACTTCAGTAAGCCACTACAAATAAGCAAAATTTTATTGCATTCAAATAAAATAAAAAATAATTTATGTATTCGCGTTGTAACACTAAAAAATATTATAGTGATAAATCAAAAATGCTTTGATAAGATAGTTTTGATCTACAGTTTACTGTTTAAGATTTGCTAATCTTAACATTTTCCATTCACAATTTATTGCTTAATATAAGCGACGCAAAATTCTTTCTTTCTTTTGTTTTTTTCAATCTAAATTCTGTTAAAAATAATACTTTAAGAGTGAGATTAGATAAGAATTACACTTAATTAATTTTTAATCTTAGATTATTATAATTATAAATTTTTTAAAACGCTTAAATAAATATAAGGGTGGTCCAAAAGCGCAAGAACTACCGCAATTATTGCCAACAGTAGAATTCAAGACCACACCATCGGGTGGAAAATACAGAAAGATTAACTATGAAGTTGTCGATGCTGAAAAACTGCCCAGAAGTGATATACAAGAAGTCAGTCCTACCTCACAGTACAATTTTGAAAGGGTTAGTTTAAGGTTACTCAATATAATAATTGCGCTAACAAAATTACGGTTCTCTTCATGCTTAATAAAACTTAATTATATTATCAAAATCATAAATTGTCATATAACCATCGAATTATGAATTGATAATTTATGCTCTATTTGGTATTAAAACTTTTTTTAATATGAAGGATTTTAAGTAAATGATGCAATAATTTTAATTCATATAAATACAACCTGATGGTTTTAGCTTATCAAATTAGATTAATATTAATAGCTTAATTTATTAAAAATGTTTGAGATGCCATAATTTGCAGTTTATGTCTTAATTTAGTAATAAAATTTAATTTATAAAATTAACAATATTGATATGAATTCAAACAGTACATCTGGCTATGAATAATAAGACACACATACAAACAGTTCAGCCAAAAATTTAGAAGAAAATTTTCTGATAAAAATTTAATTTATTTCAGTCAAGAGAAGAATCAACTGTAGAAACGTCAACTCAGAGACGATTTGTTTCTCCCACACGTCAAAAAGATCAAGTAATTTGCATTAATTTTGCGTGACATTTAAGTATCAAACTAAATCTTATTGATTTCAAGTACGAATTCATTTTCAATGTCAATAACTTATCTAAAATTTAATTTCAAAAGATGTCAACACAACTTTTGCTTAAATCTTTACTAATTAAATAAATTGTATTACTTTACAATTTTCAAAATTACTCAAAATTTGAATATCAAAGTTTTTAATCTTTTATTTTAATCACACAAGCAACTGTTTTCATTCTAAAACTATCTTAATATCTCTAACTTAAAAAAGAATTTAATAATTTTTAATATTTTCAAAACATATTAGAAATGCTGTTGGGCAGTACGCAATACAGTTTTTTTCGTTTTTATAAATTTATGCATATTAGTGTCTAATCATGAAGGGTACAATATGCAATTTATGCATATTAGTGTCTAACCATGAACTGTAATCCATAATATATTTGTAGATTTTAGTACTATAACATCTTTAATTACAGTATAAAATTATAGTATAGTAAATTCAAAAATTGAACTACTTCACAGATTACTGTCTATGAATATGATTCCGGAGAGATCAGTCGTCGAACGGAAGAAATGCCTGTAAAACGTTCTTCTTATGATCAAAGGGTACAATTTTTTATTTTTAGTCTTTTTTTTATTATTCGTATATATCATTATAACTATCATTAGCATTGATCCTGGTATTATCATTATATTTTGATATTATGTCAAACTTTGAATTATTCATGTTGATATTTATGGTTTTGTCACTGTAGTCGCTTGCTACAAATCATGCTTTTCTTAGTTTCAGTACTGATATCAGTGACTCATTAAATTATCCAGCAAATTCAAACAAAATAATATCTTCTGAATATTATTATTTATAATGTATTTACTTAAATGTGATATTAGTAACTAAAAAGAATAAAAATTGCAGCAAATTCTTGTGAGAAACAATAAAATGTCAGAATATACCATGTTGTTTCATCAACTTATAATTTTATATTTGTTTAATCTGATAATTTTAAATATTTCTTCATGGTAATTCTCAGATCCTACAAAAATCAGTACCAACTAGACGTGAGTGGTCAGAAGAAAGAAAAAGAGAAGTTTGGTCATCCACATCTAAAGGTGTATGGCATTATCCATCAAGCGGCGGGCAGCCTTCACCAACTACACCAAGTTTTGAGCAGTGGAGTCGAGATGGATCACGATACCGTAGTGATACCGCACAAGAAGAGAGATCAAGCATAGATATCGGATCAGTTCCCTCATCACGAGTTACAGTAAGACAGGATCAAGATGGACGCATTTCGGCTTCTGGAACATGGAATACAAGACGTAAAGATACTTCTTACTCAACAGCATCTACTCTACAAAAAACTCGTGAACTTGATGAGGAAATCGTTGTAAGTAACGTATTATTTTCACGTAAACAAAAATCTAGACTATTCAGTCAATAAGTAGCAATAATTTTTTATCAATTTGACTTAAATTATTAAAAGTTTAGATGTATTCAATTATTAAGAAAATAAACTTTATCAAACGCAAAAGGGGCAAAAACTTCAAGTCACTGATTAGATTATTATCTCATTTTGTTACGCTGAATTACGCGTAGTATTTAATCAATCAAAATATGATTAATTAAACACTTAAGTTTTTCATGAGTATATTTCTCATGTATGCTTACAAGCAATTTTTTAATTTCGATTTTGATTCTTAATTCAAATTCATGCTAATATATTTTGCATTGTTTTATTTTAATAATTGTATACATCACAGATTAAATTCTGAATGATTAAAAAAATGATTTATTGCTTTCAGCAAAAAGAAAGCCATCGACAGATGCCTGTTTGGACTGTAATTAAATCTACACGAAATGATGAAAGCAAAGAAGTTTGTTTATATTAAATTTTTAAAAGAATTTGCAAATTTTTAATAATTTTTTTAAAAGATAAATTAATAAGTAACGAAGTTTGTGCAATATTTGAATATTTTTTATTAGTTGAAATAAACGTTTTAGAGTAAAACTTCTCGGAAATTAAATGAACGAGAAGTTGCATCAAGCCGTGAAAGTGAAGAGCATTCTCGTTCATCGAAGTGGGATACTGAAATGGTAGACTATTTTCAGTGTATTAATTGTACTACTTTGAATTATTTTTTATCTGCTCAATTTTTTGCCGCTTAATTTTATTTTTGATTTTTTTCATTTTATTAATTTTGTGCACGAAATAAGTTAAAACTTGTTTAGCAAACACTAAATTAATTATCAGCATAAATTAGCACACTAAAGTAGTTTCTGATAATTTCGGTTATTATTTTGATTTTACTTTATAACAAAACAAAGATAATAATAATAAAAAATAATAATAATATTATTATTATTATCATAAATTATTGAAGCTTTGATATAAAACTAATCAAAAAATAAATACAAACTGAAATTTTGATATTATCAATTGCATTTTTAGCGAAAATTAAATCGCATTTTTTTAAACATAAAATAATACTTTCTGATACTTCCCACTTTGCTATAAATACGTTTATTTGACTGCAATATTTATTCTTCGTATAAATTGCAGTTTTTAATCAAATAAATGACAAAATTGAAGAATGAACACTTGTTCGTATCAAAACAGTCCGAAAATGAAATTTGACAATGCAGTAATAATTTTTGAAAAGAATATTTTATATCTAATTTATTACTTATAAAATACATTGTATTGCCAAATAAACTTATTAATTTGACTTGACTTGACTTGACTTGACTTTATTATTTCTACCAAATTTTGCCTTTCTTTATTACAAAAGTTTCTAATTTTTTTTTTGCAAAGTCATTACTGTTTATTACTGTACAAAATGAAACTGTTTTAACTTTGATCATATTTGTTAAACATTTTGAATGCAATTTGGCATTTATAATCTCACTGCTATCAAAGCATTCTCACAAAACACACACACACGCTGGTAAATGCTTTCACTTTTATACAAACTCAAAAACTAAATGTTTTTGAATTCGTATAAAAATGCAATACTTTGCATGTCTGAGCAATTTTTTGTATAAATTTTAGCTTACTGCTTTTTTATGCTTCTTAATACTAGCTATTTCAAACTTGTTTTTAGTAATATTTAAAAATAAGTTATAACTTTTTGTGAATTATTTTTGAGATAAATAAATTAAGAAAATTTTTAAGCACAATCATTTATTTGAATAATGATTTTTCATTATTATCATTATTTTGATTGATTTTATCTTCTTTTGACGGACATTACTATAACTGCTTTTGTTAATAATATCAATAGTCTCAATATAATAGTGATAATAATAATAATAGTAATAATTAATAATATTAATATTATTATAATTATTGATAATGATAATAATGATGATAATAATAATGAAAAATCATTGTATTATCAATATTTTCAAAGTACAAATGTTTTCTGAAGAAAAACTTTATTTTATTTCGCTTCTGCACACACGATTCTGAACTACTCTTTCAGTAGATTTTATCTTAATTTCGTTATCAAATCGGCACATTATTTTTGATTGTTGACATGATTCTTAAATGATAAAACTCTTTTGCTATTAATAATTTTTTGAATCGCAACTGCCATAATGTTTTTATTATTTTCACTTTACTGCAATCGCTATTCTAAACCTGATCAGAAGAAAAATGTTTACTGCTATTAACATCTGACTTTTTTCATAAAGAAGCAGTGTGTAGCCGAAGATTCAATAACATTAAGTTCATTTCTTTGTAATTAAATGATATTAAAAATAAAAAGTCTTCATGAAGACTCAACTTTAACCTTTTTTTGTTACTAAATAGATGATGATAAGAATTTTTCGTTCATGTTTGTAAGCGAATCACTTAACAGAATGATATGATATCTTAATAGCTATTAAATGATTACTTCAAAAAGTCAGAAAAGAGAAATTGTGCGTCAATTATTTTTGCTATTAAAAACTTTTTGCTCAGAACTTCTGATGATCTTTTATTAGCATAGTTGTATTGTACCTATAAATATTTACTTTGTAGTCAAAATGATCATAAATTTTATCAAAACTGATAAGGCAGACAGCCAAACTATTCATTCATCACTTCAGATTATCATTTTTGTCCATTAGTATGCATATTTATTCAAACTGATTTTGTTACTTTGAAAGCTACTTGTCTTATCTGTTACGATTTAATAGACTCCAAAACTTGTTGTCCTAGTTACTCAATACACACGTATCTCACGTTGCTCACGTATGAAATAATTAATCATTATTTTTCATGCAGCAGTACCATTTTGGTAGAAATACTAATAGATTTCATATATACTTCATTTTCTAATTTATAGCTTTTAGTCTAAGAACATCAAATGAAATTAATTTGTCTTATAAAAATTTCAGATTCTTTTAATAACAAATATTTAATTTGAAATACCTTTTGAATATAGCAACACTTCATTAGCATTTATCAAATTCATTTTTGAACACATAAAAGTTGATTGATTACGGTTGTTTCAAACTGTCTTCAAGTAAGATCACATCAAATTATATTGTAATTATAGTTTCAATTAAATGCAAAAGGCAGTGAGCATTATAATTAGTAATAATCGATAAATTATTCAAAATTAAAGTTAAACAAAATTTCCATAATTTCATTATTTTGATAATTTTTTTTGCTTTTGATTTCAGAATTTTCTGATAATTTCAGTAATTAAATCATAGAATCATTACTATACCTTTGTATTTTTATATTCGTATTGAGAGCCAAACTTCCAAACACGTTATCAACAAAAAATAAAACTGCGTATTTACACAAAATCATAACTTTACGAATTCAGCAAAATATTTAACTGCACTGATAAGAATTGCATATTATCATTTTCAACTCTGAATCCTAATTTGCTGCTCAAAAGCAATTTGCTGATAAATTTGATTATTTTCCTTGTCATTACTTTTAGAATTATTATTTTAATGCTTTAGTTGCAATACAATTACACTATTACATTTATAATTTATGAATACTTTTAGAATTCAAAAGAGCAATCCGAAATGACTACACACCAAAAAACTCCAACTTCATTGATAGCAACACCTACTTCAAGCACTCCAACGGTTAAAGTAAGCACTGCTTTCAAACTGAAATTAAGTTTTATTATGTTCCATTTATTTTTGATTGAATAATTTTATTCTATGCAAATAATTTGATGAAAAATGCAAATTTTGAAAAAGCACGTTTTACGTGAAGTAATAAGTGTAAAGTTTATTTTTTAAATGTAAGGTTTTTAATAACTTTTTAACTATAAAAATATTTTGTTTTTGACAAAAGATGACAATAAGACTTTTTGCCACTTTTACAATTTTCACAACCAACTCAGTAAACTTTGGTTCAAAATACACATTTTGAATCAAAGTTCTCATATATCCTGAATTACCGTAATTATATATTCCTTTTAATTTTTGAACCTTTTTAAAACTTGATAATACTGAAATTTTTGAAATTTGTGTATTTGAGTGATTGAAATTTTATTTGAGTGCCAAAGTTAAACTTTTTGACTAAAATGTTTTTTGTTGTAAGTTTTTTTTCAAATATTCTTCCCATTCTGAGAAAAATGCTATCAATTGATAGAATCTCAAAAAGTTATTCAATAAAATGATTCATTCTATGTTTATTGTCCACAAATTTTATTCTATGCAACTTTTTTTGTACTCAAATATGTATGCAATTTGATTTCAATCATTTGCTCGTGAAATCATTGCATGCCATTTCTAATTTTTGATATTGTTATTTATCATTTGCAAAAATACCTTTTTTAATGATTGGAATACAATAAAAAGTATTGATTATCTCGAATAATCCTCCGAGTTAGAAATTTATACGAATTTTCGTTCCAATCTTAAAGATTTGCAATTTGTTGATTCAAAAATAAACCAAACCGTACTTATTTGAATAATGAAGACTTGAAAAACTAAGCAATGAAAAAATCTCGCAGCATTTTCGCTAGCTTTAAGTGAAAATACCCTTTAATTTCAGTTTGATTAAGTTTTTGATTTACAATATATGTTGACTGCTTTGCATATTTTTGTATACTTAATTTTACTTTTATTAAAAATTTTACATAGAATAATATTTTATCTTTTTTGTGTGCTTTCCAATTGTTTCAGTAATTTCAAACAGATGTCAGTTCTAAATTTGAAAAAGTAATAATTTTAAAATATTTATTAGCTTTGAATAGTGAAAACAAAGTATGCATATAAATGACTAGCAATCCATTACTTCTTAACGATCAGAATTACTTAATTAGTTTTCTAGCATATTTTGTATTGCTCGAAAGTTTTGGTGTATTTACTATTTAAGCATTAGTTTTTCATAATGTACCTGAAATTTCATTAATTCTGATCTCACTTTTAAGCTTAAAACTTTTGACAACGTAAATTTTTTGAATAGTTTAATCAAAACAATTC